GTTTGACACGCCGAATCCTGAGAGCTAGCTCATTTCCGTTCCACCTGCAGTCCGCCTGCAGCACGAGGGAGTGCATTTTCCAGATCCGTGCAGGTCCGCCTCGATCGTCATGTTTTCTGATGCTGCCCACTCAAACCCCGATGCCATTGCTGACGATGTCGAATACCAGAAGCGATTTGATTGCCTCTTGCTTTGTTCAGTGAAGTCCAAACCCACGAGTTTAGAGGATCCTTCTGCCTGTGGTCAATTTTAGTTCTTGGCCCAATGCTGTGTTCTGCATCTCAGGTCACAGGAGCGAGCACGACCCGTTTTGCTGAGGATTATGTACACCAAACCGTCCGCAGAAACCTTGCTGCCATGCTCGGACACTGCCTTGACCCAAATGAATCTGTGCGCAAAGCGGCGCACCATCTAGTTGGAGAGCATGTCTTCGATGGCCTTGGCTTCGTGAAGGAGCTGGTCGCAGACACTATGCTCAGTCATATGCGAGACATCTTGTCAGCCAGAGGAGAGACACAGGTGACCTGGGATCGCATGGAGCGGTGCATGGTTCATCTCGAAGGGCTCCTACGATCGCTGACGAAGCGTCAGCGTCAGGAATGGGCATCTGTTTTGGTCAGACTCCTGCATAGCCTGCAATCAGCTGCAGCTCCACTCAGGGCCACTCGCCAGAAGTTGATGGTTCACAAACTGAAGCTCCTTTGGTGTGCTGACGGCGATCCCAAGCGAACTTACGCGTATGAAGAGCTGCAGCTGCAGGCCTGCTCGAAGTCGCCGAACTTCGAGGATGTGAGGCAAGACTTGAAACTCCTCCTAGTATGCTGCTAACGACTGTTTCACAAGCAGCACAGTGCACCATGCTGTCAAGAGACAAAAGGGTTCAAAGGACCAACGGTGACGACGTAAGTTTCGTCGTGTGAAAGTCCTTGCACGACTTTTTCCCCACGTTCTCCAAGGCTTTGAGGGAGCAGCTGCGGACTCTGCACCAGGAGATTGGCTTTGGAGCGCCGTCGCATCCTCGGAAGCCGCGTCACGCGGCGTGTGCAGGAGACCCGGAAGGTCTCGGAGCGCGTGGACCGCGAGGCGGGCGGGGGCCGCCCAGCTGAGCCAACAGATGTTTTGGGGACCTAAGGTCGCGGACCACATCGAGGTGCAGCGCCACGACGTTGAGGCGTGGAGCGGGCCGTCGTCCCCAGGCCATGGCCAAACTCTAAGCAGAGGCTAACAAGGCGAAGCTCGGGGACTCGTCCGAGCCCGTGGCCCAGCGGCCCAGCGATGCAGCGCTCGGAGCTCCATAGCTCTGCGCTCTCGCCGCTCTCGCTCTGCCACTACACCCTGCCAGGATCCGTCGTCAGTTGGCCCAAGCCTCGAGCCGTACACAGGAGCTGCAAGGGCAGCCTTGTGCATGAGATGTTGCACGCCCGTGCTCGCAGGAGCTCCAGACGCTGAAGGCTGCGCCGCTGCGCCGTGCTGCCTTGTCGATGCGCGATGCGTGCAGTCAGACTGGCAGGATCAGAGCGAGCGGGCTTTGGAGGCATCCAAAAAGAGCAGCCATCGGACGGAGGAGCAGCATGCATGGAATATGTCTGAGTATGGAACTGTGCCTCACCACTGATGGGTTGCATAGATGAGTTGAAATCCACGGGCCAATGCACCTGCACCCACAGATTGCAGCTGCATGGCAGGACTTGGCACGGCAGCTGCATCAGCTTCAGGAGGACAGTCCTTGGATTCGCACATCGTCTTCATCTCTGTTTGTATGAACAGCCCGCCCGCAAATCTATCAGACAAGGACGCTGTGGTGGCCTGTGTTTCTCGCGCTTTGTGTTCCTGAGCGCAGGACCTGGGTGCCTCGCTCCGCGAGCGAAACCAGCTCCATGAGGCGGTGGAGCAGCTCACGGTGCAGTTCCGCGTGGGGGGCCTGGGGCGGCCGAGCCGGGGCGAGCAGGCTTTTGTCCCTTCGTACTCGTGCTTAGGAGGACGTCTTCCGCCAATCGCAGCGACACCTGGAGCTCGAGGGTCTCATCGAGGCAGCGGCCTGAAGCCTGAAGCTGTCGGCTTCCCGGGGTTTTTCCCTTGAGGGATCTTGAGGTCTATCGTGGTCGCAGCAGAATGCAAATCAAGATACTCAAGGGGGGAAAGGCAACAAAAAGGTTCTGGAACTAGTTTGACAGCTCTGCCTCTGGCGTATGCAGGACCGGAACAACGAGATCAAGCTGCTGATGTACAGGCTCCAGGACGGGCTGGCTGCCAGCAGAGGGGGTGCACCGAAAGCTGCGAATGCTAATTTTCAGTAGCACCATTGGAAAGCCGGAAAATAAATAACAGTGACAAAGGTCTCTCAAGAAGGAGGATCCGTGTTGCTTCCCAGAACTACCGCGTTTGCCTCTGTTGTCTCAGTTTCACGGCAACGATGTTCAAAGTGATAACGGCGTAGTTCGCGTTGTGGAATGTTTTTAGAGCAGCCCTAGCGATGACACTCGATGGAAGTTTGTTCAGTGTGCGGAGGGAAGGCTAAGCTTTTGGTTTCTCTTTGCTAGCTCTCCTCGCGCATTCAGCATTTTCCCGACTGCTCCTGTTTTCCAGGTTCGTTTCTGCATAAATGTTGCCGATTTTTGCATCAGCCAGTAATCCCACGTAATCCCCAGGCACAGAGCCAGATTGGAATATTCGGCATACTCCAGCACGAGTGCCTTATCCCCATGTCCAGGAGCTCTCCTCGAGGTATGTGCCAGTGAAGGCGGATGCTACTTGGGGGCAAGAGTGTTGTGTATGCGGAAGCTCGCCATCGGCGACCGCTGAGGCGGAGGCATTCTTGAGATTGGTGCCTTTTCTCATTCACCATGTTCACGCCATCAACCCTGGTCGGGCTGAGGCCACGGACATGGTCCTTTCGAGATGGATCAACGGCTATCGGCGACGGTCTTGGATTTGTGGCTCAGAGTGCCAGCAAAGCATGACATGCCTGAGGCCGGCAGTTCCTTTCTTCCGCTTGGCACAAGGGCTCTACCTCTTCGGTCGGCGGCAGGTGTGGCCCTGCCGCTTGGATTCTGGTTGCTTACACAGCTGACAGGTCGTCTGCAAGATTTCCAACGACAAGCCGGTGTTTCGCATCGGCGGTGGCTTCGTAGGTGCCAGTCTTATGCATCTGGGCAGGGTGTCTAGGCCTCTGACGGCAGATAGACCTCTCTAGTTCAGCGACACCTGCTAATCAGCAGTGGGAGTGTCAAGATTAATTGTTTCTCCGGCTGAGCTTGTTCGGCAAACGAGGATTTGAGAAGTTCCTCGAGCAGTTTGCTGCGGAGGCGTGGATGAATGGCGGCGAGTGTCTGGGACGCACGTTTGTGGCCAGGAACTCGAGAGACTTCTGACCTACGAGTTGGCGAAGCTCTTAAGAGCAGCGGGTTTTGTCAGCCATGTTGCAAACGGAGCGGGGCACCGCGGCGCATTCGCAAGGATGAGAAGACAGGCGAGCCCAAGTTCCTGGTGGTCGGGACCTCCGAAGCATCCACAAGTCCCTCTCCTTGCAGCAGTTGTCAAGTTTTGGCCTGACTGAGGCGAAACAGCTCCTCGACGAGTCCGGCGTGGTGGAGGCGAGAGACACGAGACGTTCAGCTGCGATGCCCTGGCCTTTGTCGGCGACTCTACGTTCAGGAGATACGGCAGAAGGTCACAGAGGATGTGCAGCGCGGCAAGACAGGCGCGATCCGCTCGCCTTTGCAAAGTTACACGGAAGTTCGAAATTCGTCAGCTCTGCAGCTGATCCATCAATGTCTGCAAATGCTGCTTGAATAGACGCGAGTGCCCTGCAAGGACTGCAGAGCAGCATGAGTAAGAAATCTTTGAATTCGTCGAGGGGCAGCTTGTGAGGCTGCCATCGGCTTGGGCCTCCCGTGGAAAAGGCGTTGTGTAAGGTTTCACTTCGCAGCTTCGCAGCTTTGCAGCTTCGCATTCGCGATCGCTTGTCCAGAGCTCGTCAGCAGAGAGAGTTTGAATGTCACGTGCAGATAACTTCGAAGAGTCTCCGGCGATCAGGGCAAGCCATCGCTTGGCATCCTAGGCTCCTAGGTTCCTGGGTATGCCTGGCATCGCCATGACAGGCGGATTCCATTGCAAATGAATCGAAAAAGCATGTCCCGGCCTTCCCGACAAGGTAAGGGCAGTAAGCAGCAGGATGTTATTTCGGATGGGTTCTGCTGATGATCACAGCAGAGCACACCAAACTCGAAGGCTTGAGCGCGGGCCCCTCCAACGAGTCTCGATGCGAAGTGCATGCGACAGAGCGTTGAGCAGTGCTCTTACGGTGGGCACGTGTCGCTTCTGCTCTGGTGTATCTTTCGCGCGATTTGTCAACCAGACTCATGCTGCCATTCAGGTTTTCCTAAAGTCAAGCCTGGTGCGGCGACGTGAAGATCCTCCCCTCTGTGCCTTCACTAATACCCTGTAGAACTGAGACTCGGCTGGATGCCCGGTCCAATGCCTCAGTGCGGCACGCTGTAAAAACGAAGAGGGGTTTCAAAACAGAAAGAAAAGACTCGGCTGGCTGGATCTTCTTTGTGCAAGGGACGCAAAGGGAAGCCAGAAGCTGGACATGGAAGATGGTGGTTGGGGCGAGCTTGGAATGCTCCGCGAAAGCCTCTCACGAGCGAGGCCGGATCTAAGAGAGAGCAATCGGCCGGCACTGTGTCCTGGCAGCCGATCGTCTGGCCACCTTTTGGGGGGTCTCGGCTCAAGGCATTTGCCGTGCTCCGTGCTTTGAGGCTTAGCCCGTGTCCTTGGCTGCTTGGCTCGTGGAAATGGCTTCGCGGGGATACGAGGCAGAGATGGCCCCCGCGGCAGAGAGGGAGGTGACCGAGGTGACGAACACCCATGCAATCAAAGCGCAGAAGACCCGAGTCTCGGAGGAGTTCAAAGAGCTGGAGAAGAACGACCCCCTGCTCAAGGAGAACCCTCGCCGCTGGGTCATGTTCCCGCTGCAGCACCCGGAAGTCGGGCACTGAGTCTGTTCCCTAGCCCTAGCGGCCCTAGCTCTCACGAGCAAAGTGTCTTAACTTGGCAAGCGAGCGAGTCGCGAGTTCCGCGAACAGGTCTGGGAGATGTACAAGAAGCATGAGGCTTCTTTCTGGACGGCGGAGGAGATCGACCTGGCGCAGGACAACAAGGATTGGGTGACGATGAACGAAGGCGAGCAGCACTTCGTGAAGCACGTCTTGGCCTTCTTTGCTGCGTCTGACGGAATCGTGCTGGAGAACCTGGCCGCGCAGTTCTCCACGGAGGTGCAGATTCCTGAGGCCAGAGCCTTCTACGGCTTCCAGATCGCCATGGAGAACATCCATTCCGAGACGTACTCGCTCCTGATTGAGCAGTACATCAAGGACCCTGCGGAGAAAGACAGCCTTTTCGATGCCATCCACACCATGCCGGCCGTTCAGCAGAAGGCTCTGTGGGCTGTGCAGTGGATGAACCGCGAGAGCAGCTTCACCGAGCGATTGGTGGCTTTTGCTGCCGTGGAGGGCATCCTCTTCAGCGGCTCCTTCTGCGCCCTCTTCTGGCTGAAGAAGCGCGGCCTGATGCCCGGCCTGACCTT